TATGTATGGGAAACAAAAAAATTCCTACGCTCACCAAGATCAATGTAGGAGATGCACATCTATGAGAGGAGAGATTGGATCTACATACCCTTGTAGATCACTAAGCGGAAGCGTTAACAAACGCGGTTGATGTAGTCGAACGTCTTCGCGATCCAATCACGATCCGTCCACGAACTCCCGATCAAGTGTCGAACGGACGCACCTCCGAGTTTAGCACACGTGCGGCTCGGCGGCGTCCTCTCCTTGATCCAGCAAGCGAGAGAGGGGGGGGTATGATGTGGAGCATCCTTCCATCATCCCATGGACTCTACATCAATACATCAAGCACCACATGGACCCATGACAAGAGCTAGAGCACGCGCAATGGAAACCAAGGTGAACTCCTTCCTAATTGACATGCATATGGACACGAGTGAAACTTGGTCGCTACCTCACCAAAATGCATTATGTATCATTAGGTACGAAGAGGAACACTCCCAAGCAGCTAAGGAGCATCACCAAGGAGTAGGAGAAACACCCCAAGACCTTGAGGAAAAGGAGTCCCAAAGGAGCAGGACAGGAAGTACCAGGCGACCTCGTGCGCACGGGCCCCCGAGACCCCGTGCCCACAGGCTACACGGGGAGCTACCGCTGTAGGACCCCGTGCGCACAGGCCCTACAGGATGGCCGGCTGATGATGGCTGTTGGGCCTCCTCTTCATCCACTTCGCCCCCATGCCTATATATTCCGTACCTAGGGTCATGTTTAGGGTAAGCAAAGATACATGTGAGATATTTGAGAGCTTTGCTCCTTCTACCTCTCCATTGGAGATCAAGTCCTCTTAGGAGAGGATCCAATTGTGGATTTCAAGACCTCCTCTTGGAGAAGACTACCATCATCAAGACCTCATCTCTTAGGAGTGGGAAGAACTTTACCTAGTGCTTGTTTCCTTTGATTGTTCTTGTAATCTTGTGGATCTATGTGTTTGCTATCCTAGTGGATATGTGATTGGGTTTTGTTGGAGTGAATTCCTCTTTGTGTTCTTGGTGTTCATCCCTTTTCCCCCTCCAAGTGTGAAAAGATCCACCTTAGGGTTTCACCCTACAACATCTTGGTATCATGAGCAAGGTTGATTCACATCTTGGAGTCCCTACCCCCATTTGCTAGCTTGATTTTGTTGTTTTTCGTCCTAATTTGAAAATCCCCACCAAAAAGAGCCCCAAAAATTTTATTGCAATTTGTTAGATGTTGTGAGATTTGGTTGATTTGATCCATGAATTTGGTGTTTGACAAGTGGATCTACCCCTTACCACCTTTTCCCACCCACCCATCCATCATTTTTGGCCGGAAATTTAAAAATCCCCACAGATCTGAAGGTGTTCTTGCGCTCCCAGAACACCCCGTGCGCACGGGCCATCGAGACCCCGTGCACATGGACATCACTTACCCCGTGCGCACGGACCATACAGAGCAGTTCGGCCACCACCATTTTGCCTTTCCACGACCACTTTTGACATTCCGCAATATTTCTCGTGAGTGTTTGAGCTTTGGAGTTGCGGTTCTCTCGTGTCCGAAGGTGTTTCAGCTATTTAGGTGTGGTTTGTCTTCATCATCACCTCCACTCATCATCGGCTTGGACTCCACTTCGACATCGAACACCTCATCTTCATACCAACCCTAAGCAAGGACGGTAACCTCGACGACACCTTTGTAGTACCCTTGCCATTACCTTGATAACCTCGAGCCTCTTTTGCGTAGCTTACCCTT